CGCCGCACCCTGTTGCGTTGGGTCCCGCGGGAGTGCAGGTCTCTACGATGAAGTATTTTGCTCCACCTATATAAAGATCACTTCTATGGGATTGCATCTCTGCCGCAATTCTGCACACGAAATATCACATTTTGAGCGCGCAAAAGTGCGTTTTGCACGCGCGTGAACTGAGTTTTGTGGAGAAAATGTTTGTCTGTAAAGTGCTTGATAGGGACTCGCAACGGAGGCAGGCATCTAACCCTAATGTGTGCGTGCGCCATGATTGTAGAATACGTAAACAAATTTTTTTTTAATAAAACGTAAATTCAAACGTACATTTTTTGAAGAGTAAGAAAGATCCAATAGAAAGATCCAAAGATCAGCAGTAATCTGAAATAAAACGCTTTTGTAACATTATACATATACCATTCAAAAGCTTGGAGTCAGTATAATTTTTTTTATTTTTTTGGGAAATGATAGAAATTAATACTTTTATTTAGCAAGGATGCTTTAAATTGACCAAAAGTGACGATAAATACATTCATAATGTTACAAAAAAATTATATTTCAGATAAATTCTGTTTCTCTGAACTTACTATTCATCAAAGAAACCTGAAAAAATGATACTCAGCTGTTTTCAACATAATAATAATAAATGTTTTTTTGAGCAGCAAATCAGAATATTTGAATGATTTCTGAAGGATCATGTGACTGTAGTAATGATGCTAAAAATTCAGCTTTGAAATTGCAGGAATAAATCTTTGTATGACATTTTTCTATTATTTGCAGTCAGGGTGGCTGAAATATACTGAACAAAATTATAAACGCAACACTTTTGTTTTTGCCCCCATTTTTCATGAGCTGAACTCAAAGATCTAAGACTTTTTCTATGTACACAAAAGGCCTATTTCTCTCAAATATTGTTCACAAATCTGTCTAAATCTGTGTTAGTGAGCACTTCTCCTTTGCCGAGATAATCCATCCACCTCACAGGTGTGGCATATCAAGATGCTGATTAGACAGCATGATTATTGCACAGGTGTGCCTTAGGCTGGCCACAATAAAAGGCCACTCTAAAATGTGCAGTTTTACTGTATTGGGGGGTCCGGGGGGGTCCGAAAACCAGTCAGTATCTGGTGTGACCACCATTTGCCTCACGCAGTGCAACACATCTCCTTCGCATAGAGTTGATCAGGTTGTTGATTGTGGCCTGTGGAATGTTGGTCCACTCCTCTTCAATGGCTGTGCGAAGTTGCTGGATATTGGCAGGAACTGGAACACGCTGTCGTATACGCCGATCCAGAGCATCCCAAACATGCTCAATGGGTGACATGTCCGGTGAGTATGCTGGCCATGCAAGAACTGGGATGTTTTCAGCTTCCAGGAATTGTGTACAGATCCTTGCAACATGGGGCCGTGCATTATCATGCTGCAACATGAGGTGATGGTCGTGGATGAATGGCACAACAATGGGCCTCAGGATCTCGTCACGGTATCTCTGTGCATTCAAAATGCCATCAATAAAATGCACCTGTGTTCGTTGTCCATAACATACGTCTGCCCATACCATAACCCCACCGCCACCATGGGCCACTCGATCCACAACGTTGACATCAGCAAACCGCTCACCCACACGACGCCATACACGCTGTCTGCCATCTGCCCTGTACAGTGAAAACCGGGATTCATCCGTGAAGAGAACACCTCTCCAAAGTGCCAGACGCCATCGAATGTGAGCATTTGCCCACTCAAGTCGGTTACGACGACGAACTGCAGTCAGGTCGAGACCCCGATGAGGACGACGAGCATGCAGATGAGCTTCCCTGAGACGGTTTCTGACAGTTTGTGCAGAAATTCTTTGGTTATGCAAACCGATTGTTGCAGCAGCTGTCGGGTGGCTGGTCTCAGACGATCTTGGAGGTGAAGATGCTGGATGTGGAGTTCCTGGGCTGGTGCGGTTACAAGTGGTCTGCGGTTGTGAGAACGGATGTTGGATGTACTGCCAAATTCTCTGAAATGCCTTTGGAGACGGCTTATGGTAGAGAAATGAACATTCAATTCACGGGCAACAGCTCTGGTGGACATCAGCATGCGAAGCATGCGAATTGCACGCTCCCTCAAAACTTGCGACATCTGTGGCATTGTGCTGTGTGATCATTTTAGAGTGTGAGGTGGATGGATTATCTTGGCAAAGGAGAAGTGCTCACTAACACAGATTTAGACAGATTTGTGAACAATATTTGAGAGAAATAGGCCTTTTGTGTACATAGAAAAAGTCTTAGATCTTTGAGTTCAGCTCATGAAAAATGGGGGCAAAAACAAAAGTGTTGCGTTTATAATTTTGTTCAGTGTATATATAATGATATTGATATTGAACAAATGTGCCCTTCGAAATGTGATTTCGCCCCTGCGCCTATGATGATACATCTCTGTACAAAAGAAAACCTGTAATACTCAAAATGATTTGTTTACATAAAAGTGTGTGTGTGTTTGTGTGAATATGCATGCATCTACAAACCACACGCCCGAAACCTTTACATTTTAAGCCGGTCGTTTTTGACCTCGACCTTAAACATCACAAGTGAGATTTTTTTTTTTTTTGCAATTTTGTACAAAATAAAAGCGTTTCAAAACAATTTTCCTATTTAAACATTAGAGCATACTAGTGTGAAAAACTGTGCATTTTTTCATATTTTATTTAATAATGACAAAATTATACATAAGCTCATATTAATGAGGCCTACAATCAATCAGTTCAAAAAAAAAAAAAAAAAAAAGCCAGTCCTAAAAAAACAGTCCTAATTTAAAGAAAACAAGGTGACAAAAATATTGAATCCTATATTTGTTGATAATATAGCACAAAAAGAGAATTATAAGCTATTTTTTTTGTAGGCCGGTCATTTTTGACTGGGAACACCACAAGTGTAACAAGGTGCAATAAAATTCTAATAAATAAATAAAATATAAATAAATAACATTTTTAGAAGGAAGTAGTTATACCGTGTGTAAGCAAAGTCACAAAATTTTTGCCCAAATGCACATCCTCACCGGGTCAAAATTACCCGAACACAACCTGAGGGTTAAATAACTGAAATGATACTTTAATGAAATAAAAGTAAAACCGCTAGTATGTGGCGGCAAGTCACTGGCTGAATCTGAAATCGCCCTCTATACCCTCATTCACTATTCCCTACATTAGAGCACTAATACAGTTCACTAGAAGGAGTAAATGAAAACGAGTAAGTGAATTCGGACACTTAGTGCATTGGAAGGACTGTCGTTTTTGCATAGTTTTTGCTTGCTGTTTATTAATCATTTTGAAACTGGCAAACTTGCAGCTCCAGTAGTAAGACGTAAGGATTAATCTTGAACTCTGTCATGAAAATTATGTATAAACCCTAATTAAACAATTTACTAATAATTTTACAATGAATTTACACCTGCATTATGCTGTACATCGTGAATGAGCACTTTGTAAAATGAATGGATGGATGGATGATTCAGCTGCGGGTGCCATCTTCTGGCGAGACGTGACAATTTATTCGGTGCACGACTCTCAAAGTGAATTATTGGTATTCTCTAGTCCAGTGGTTCTCAAACCTCTCCATGAAGTACCCCCCACTTCAGGTCTTGCAGTCTCCACTAATGAACTGATGAGCTGAATCAGGTGTGATAGATGAGGTAGACATACAAAATGTGCAGTGCTGGGGGTACTCCAGGACAGGTTTGGGAACCACTGCTCTAGTCATTGAGCATACATCATTTGTGTGCTCAATGACTAGAGAATACCCAATTTACTTTATACTTTTTAAATTAATTAATTAATTGGATTTAGTTGGTGCTTTCCCCATCAGATGTTGTTTTGTATTTTGTTCTGGCTTAAACAGGATGATGTGACATTTAGGTGCAAAAATGCATAATAATAAACCAAAGCTGGAGGCTACAATGGCAAATATTTCCACAGCTACAGTAAATTTTCCAGGGGAACTGACATAAGCTGGTATAAATGTAATCCATACAGCACAAAATATGAGCATACTGAATGTGATGAATTTGGCTTCATTGAAGTTATCAGGCAGTGTGCGAGCCAGAAAAGCCAAAATGAAGCACAAAACAGCCAGTAGGCCAATATAACCCAGAACAGCAGAGAAACCTATAGTAGAACCTAGATGACATTCAAGAATGATTTTTTCTTGATAATATTTCATATTTTTGTGGGGAAATGGGGGAGATATTGTTAGCCAAAGCACACAGATAAGAACCTGTATAAGTGTAAAGGCAAGAACACTGAGTCGTTGTTGTGCAGGCCCAAACCATTTCATGACATTACTTCCTGGAAGTGTAGCCTTGAAGGCCATTAACACCACTATTGTTTTCCCCAGAACACATGAGATACAGAGGACAAAGGTGATTCCAAATGCTGTGTGACGCAACATACAGGACCACTCAGTGGGTCGACCAATGAAAGTAAGTGAACAGAGGAAACAAAGAGTCAATGAGAAGAGCAGCAGGAAGCTCAGCTCTGAGTTGTTTGCTTTTACTATGGGGGTGTCCTTCTTGATGTAAAACAGGATGGCTACCAGCACAGTTAATCCTGCTCCAAACAGTGAGAAAAAGACTAGCACAATACTCATAACGTCTGTGAATGACAGAAATTCTACAGCCTTTAATATACATTTATTTTTCTGAGCATTAGACCAGTATTCCCCTGGACACTGCCTGCAGTTATTTGAATCTGGAAAGGAAGTTGCGATTACTAGTTAGAGACAAAAGGAAAATGGTTTATTTATTATTTATTAACTCCTTCGATAATATACTGCACCCTGAATAGTAGATGAAGAATACATAATGAACAACTAACCAGTTTTCTTTGGAAATGTGAGATGGGCTGTAGGTTACCTGTCTCATTACTGATTTCTCCTTCTGCACATGGAATACAGTCATAACAGCAGACAGGTCTTCCTTTAAAGATATAAACTTGCAATTGCAAAAAAAGAGTCAGAATTGTGAGATATAAACGTGCAATTCTGACTTTATTTTGAAACTTTTTAACTTTACATCTTGCAATTGTGAGTTTATATCTCACAATTCTGAGATGTAAACTCGCAATTGCGAGAAAAAAAGTCAGAATTGCGATTTTATATCTCACAGTTCTGATTTTATTTCTTACAATTGCTAGTTTATATCCTGCAATTGTGACTTTATAACTCGCAATTGCAAGCTTCTATTTTGCAATTCTGAGAAAAAAGTCAGAATTGCAATACGTAAATTTGCAAATGCAAGAAAAAAAGTCCGAATTGTGAGATAAAAAGTCGCAATTTTATTCAGTGGCGAAAACGGCTTCCATAGTGGGTACTTGCTATAAATGTCAGTCAGGCTATTTCTTCCTGTCTAAGAATGCGGTTCATGGCCAGAATAAGCTGCAATGTGTGACTGGATCGCGGGCTAATACTGCTTTTTATATTACTGATTTTGGACATTTATGAATTCAGTGCACTGGAAACTCCAACAGATTTGTGTATATCATAACAGTGTATGTCATTTCATATAGACACACAGGCCAGTGGCAAAAAAACATCCGGGCCGCCCTTTCCTAAGCTGTTGAGATTGGAAATCGCAATGGTTGTTTATCAATTCTGAAAATGCAACAGACAACTGGAGGCATTTGTTTCTCCAGGGGAAAACAAGAAACTAAAACGGAGTGAGTGTAGCATGAAAGCAGCACATGTACTTGGAATAAAACAGCAGAATAAACAGACAGAGGAAGAGTGCTGGCCATGTGCTGTGAAAGCAGAAGCAATGGAAAGAACAAGTCCTCCAAACACTGGAGTCAATCATAAAAGCCACTGCTGGTACAGTGACATCATTACTCATGAGGCTGCACTTTAAGGCAATGGCATTAACAGACACTACTGCACACCATTTAACTGTAGCATTAATCAGCCTCATTTGATATTCATAAGGCTGGCTCAAACTCTTCTGGATTAGTGGTGTTTGGGTCTGATACCTCACATATGTGAAATACAAGTGCTTCAGATTGAGCTCCAAATCACTATTACATCTGCTGGTCATACTGTGATTCAGTCTCACCTAAAGCATCTTCACACTTCAGAATTAAAGGGATAATTCAGCCCAAAATTAAAATTATTCATTATTTACTCACCCTCATGTTGTTCCAAGCATGCAGGTACTTTTTCAATGGAACCTAAAAGAAGGAACTGAAAAATCTTCAGACTCTCAGAGGAGAGATGCATAAAAAAAAAAAAAAAAAAAAAAAAAAAACTTTTTTTTTATTAATTTTCAAAAATTTTTTTTTTTTTTTTTTTTTTGCATTCCAAGTAATTTCAATCAAACTGCAGTTGGGTTGTTTTGATTAAGTAACAATAGCTCAATTTTTTTTTACGTCCCAAAAAGATATCACAGGTTCATCAAGATCTCCAAAATTTTCCATCCTCGATCACTTTTAGTCAGCTTTGATGAAACTCCTTTAGACGAAACTCCTCTCAGCTAGTGAGTCCTGACTAGCAGCCTTGTCACCTGACCTGATTACTGTGTGCTGATTCGCTAAAATGGACTTATCGGGTTGTGTTCACAAACAACAAGGGTGCTTGCTGGTTTCTGTAAACCGTGAACTCATGATTCCTTGACAGTGGACAATACCGGCTTTCGTGACAAAACGTGTTTAAGGTTCAGAACATGCTATATGTGGAACATGCTGAATATGCTACATGCTATATGTGTTATCTGTTGCAAATGAACTTTTTGTATAGTTATTTATATCTACTCTGAAGAATAAAATTACATAATTAAATATTGTTCAAAATAGAGTAGTGCAAGTTTGTTTGTAAGAAGCTAATGTGATATACATTTACGTGAGTCAACTCTGTGAATCAACTGGAAAACAAACATTAACAAACATTAATTCCTAGGGACAATATTTATTTCTAGTATGATTTTTAAGAATTAATTTTAAGAAAATCTCAATAAAAATTATTACCATTTGAAATTCAGGGCAACTAGTGACAAAGTGAATCAACTGGAGATTTAAGGGTCTCAGTGCTGAGTAATGTTGCTCATTTTTTATAACAGCACTTTAAAATGTTTTATTCTCAAGAAGTATTCACAATGAACCAGCATACAATAGCTCCTATTGCACACTGGCAAATTTTATGCTTGAAAGGTGCCGTTATACATTATTGCAAAGTAGTTTTTTTGTTGTTGTTGTTTTTCCCCTGCACCAGTTAAAATAGAACAGATAACTGCCGTTTACCCCCAGCTGTGCTCCAGCCCAGATTATGTTTTCAGTGTTGAGCACAAAGCGCTGATCAGGGGGCAGTGAGGCATCATAGTATCCCACTGGTTTAAACTGGATTGATCCATCAGAGTCCTGCTGCCAGTTCACAATTTCATACTGGGCCACTGCACCACCAGTGCTGTCAAACCACACATGATCTCCAAACTTTACTGTAAAATTTATTTTTTTCAGAGCCTCAACCACCTAGCAATAGACAGATTTGCATTATATTTGAATCATTTAACACATTTCCAGATACACAGGCATAACCTCTTGCTCTCCCTGTCTGCCCCTCTAGCACTGATTTTATTTATTTTGCTTGCTTGCTTTCTTTCTTTCTTTCATTCATTCATTCACTTACTTACTTACCTACCTGCTGTGGTTGTATTGTCAGGCCTTTGTCACAACCTTCTTGTTCTCTGCATTTGAGTAGACTGTGTACTGAATGAGCCACAGCATAAACTGCTTTATAGACGTTGCTAGCATATCTTTGTTCTGGCACATCTTCATTATAGTTTTTCACTGGAAGTAGATCCTGATATCCACTGCAATTTAGTGCATATTGAAAAGAATTTCTCTCAGTTTGTGAACATGGAAAAGCTGTGTCCCAGAATTCTTTTATGACATAATCTGAAAACCCTTCAACATTGATTTTTCTCACTGCAAACCCCAGTGACCCTCCCAAAAATCGAAAACTCTTTGGAGTGATCAAACTCTTTGCAGTTATCCATGCTTCCACACCAATCATTTGTAGGCCTGTAATGTTCTGAATACTTAACTGCTCAAATAGACTGTTCATCTCAAAACTGGTAAGAAATGCTACAATAACTTTTGCAGTGCCTTGTTTTATTATGTCTACCACTTTTTTAAGTTTTTCAGTCTCTGTTCGGTAGAATTTCACAGAGTACTCCACACAAATCCCCTCCTCCTGGGCTGTATTGAGGAATATGTTCATTCCATAGTTTCCATAATCATTGTCAGTGTTCACAGCTCCCACCCAAAACCAGCCAAAGTGCTTGACCATATATGCAAGTGCTCTGCTCTGGTGGTAATCACTAGCAATAGTCCTGAAGAAAGAAGGGTAATCTTTCCTATTACTGAGACAGTCACATGTGGCTGACTGACTTATCTTAGAGAGAGGGAGAGAAACGGAGTGAGAGAAAAGAAAGAACAGAACACAATGAAACAGTCATCAGAATGGTAATCGTGTCAAACATTTAGTGTTATTGCTCCTTACCACTGGAATTTTAAAAGATCCTGTGGTTCTGGACAGAATTACTGTGGCTGAAGACTCTGATTCTCCTATGATAGCATGAATAAGTGATTGTCCATTGCATCTGTCCTCTGCTGCAAACTCCTGACCATTCATCAGTGCCATAGTTGAATTCATAGAAAACAGTCTTGAACCACAGTTATCATAAATTTGGTAGCCAATAGATACATTTGGGAGCAAACTTTCACTTCTGTTAATTTCCTCAATGGCAAAAATCATAATCTGGGCCATCCGGAAATCTCTTAGATTTACACTGTGAAAAAAAAAATACAATAAATAGATAAATACATACATAAGGTGGTAAATTATACATAAAACGTAATAGTAAGCGTAATCATTACAAAAATCTGTTAAAAAATGCTAAATAAAAAATAAAATTAAAAGTTAAATAAAAACTTTTAATAAATCATCTTTTGTAATGTTTCTCAAAGTTTTCAATTTAACAAACCTGGAGCATGATAGAGGCTGAGGTTTTTCTGTAAACTCAAATGAAGATAATGTTAGTTTACTGTGGACTGCAAAAATTCCTCCAATAGTTACTTCTCCATCCTTGGAAAGCAGTGGGTGCTTGGGGTCTCCCATCATTCGGCAAAGTGTGTTTACCTTTGTCTGAAGGTAATGGAAAAGGAGGAGTGTGTAAAGGAAGAGAAGCATCCCAGATTGAGCTCCACTGCACCTACCAATGCAAATGATCTGATACAGTATTTGCACTTTTATAGTCATAATTAATATGGATGAATGATTTTGAACACAGCCAATGGACTCATAGAGCTTAAACGGGTAATGAAATGTAGAATAAAAAAAATATTGTTATTTACACTAGGGGTGTCGCGATATACCGTTATTGGCGATAGTCGTGATATTTAAAACATGAAATATCATTATCATGTTAATTAGGGGTGTGATATACCAGTATCAGCGATAACCATGTTATTTCAAAAGTACACACCGCTAAACTCTCACGTGTGATTTGTTTCGTTCATAACCGACGCCAGAGGGCTCCTTTGCACGGGAAGTTCACAAGGGAGACTCATAGGAGTAATAAAACAAATGACTTTCCAGGAAAATTCCTTATATGGACAAAGGCATCCAGCTATCACTGTAGCTGAATAAAATGCAGAAAGAAATGGTTGACTGATAAAACGTGAAGAGAATTAACACACGATTGCAACAGTATGGTTTATCTGTGTTCAAGTCATCTCTGGCATTTTTTATAAGGATAATGTTTATTTATAATGCAATGCTAATCGACAGCCTTTAGCACTGTGTAGAATACTGTATAGAAGCCTCATCAGTTCAAAAAAAGAAGTTATTTCAAAACTCAGTTTTTTATTTCAAAAGAGTTTGGGGTAATACATGGTCAGAGCCGATCCTCCCTATAAGCAAAATACGCAAGCTGCGTAGGGCACCCGAAAACACCAGGGGGCCCCCTTGCTCTCAGAGATTATTTAATTTTAGTTTCGTTTTTTGAATTTGGTCAGTCGTGAAAACGAGTGAGAACTTTGAAACTTCATGCAACTCCGTTAAGTCACTTCTGAACTGTATTTGTGTGTGTGTGTGCAAAATACATATAGTCAAATTGGTAATATACACTGACATTAACGTCTCGCTGGCCGAGTAGCTGATAGAGTGTAAACTATCAAATTTGAAATCAGTTTTAATCAGGTGGACCTCGAATTTTCAGATCCGAGTACTTTCAAAACCTGAGCTAGAAATAAAATTAATGATTAATTCCCTTATCAAGAATTAATGAGTTAAATTCCTTACAGCCGTTATGAAAACATGAATAATAATTTATTTTAATGCAATGTGCTGTCGCCCTTTCTACGTAAAAATCAGTCAAATCATGTAATGTGAATGTCGTACAGTCTTGCTCGAGACTAAAAAAACAAGTTGAAAGCGTACCGAGCTGTGGAAGAGACACTGTTTCTCAAGCGCTTTCCACGAGTGCGATTCGAGACGGAGTGAAACACAAACAAATGTGTTTCATTCATTCGTTCATAACCACTCATACCTACGTGGTCTCATGGCAAAAACGTACCTGGGGGCACTTTTTCCTGAGACGCGAAATGTGTACCAATAAGTACATATCACTGCAGTTTGAAGAAATGAACACTAGAGGCAGTAAAACTCAGACAACTTTTATTCCTTTTCACACAAATTTACTGAGTTTCGATTAATACAGCGTAATTTTCGCACAATTACTTGAAGAATATTATGTTATTACTTCAAAACAATTTTAATATGCTGGGAGATTTGAAAACGGATACTTTTGAATGTTAGCATCACACATATCCATATCTGTTTTGCATTTGTTAACACTATCGGGTAGGTTTAGGGTTGGGTTTGGTGTAGGGCATATTTCCAACACGATAGAGCATTAACTTTTAGCGACAGTCCCCAGATATTTTAAATCTGAACCGCCGCAATATGTACCTGAAGCAATGTAATAAAAACAGAGCAATACATACCTATATCAACTTAATAAAAATGTGCCAGGGTTCACGTATTGAATCCGTGTTTTAGCACCACTCAGTGGACATTTCTCTTTGAAACTGCGGCGAAACGTGCAGTAAGGTATGTAAAAACGGTGTTGCAGAAAAGTACCCAGAGGTACGTATTTTTATGAGACCAGGTGGTACGTAAAAACGGTGTTGCAGAAAAGTACCCAGAGGTACGTATTTTTATGAGACCAGGTTGTTAAATGCATATATACTATTATGTCTTTTTGATTGGAAAAGATGAAACAAGTTTATTCCTGGTTTTTGAATTACAAATTTTCCCATTCTAACCACCAATCCTCAGTGAAGCCCACAAACAAACAAACAATAAATAAACAAATGAATTAATTAATGAAATAATGAATTAAAATAAGCACCAATATCTCCCATATTTTCTTCATCAGATTCTGGCTTATAGACTGCAGGCAGGTTCAGGAGTCGGTGAACTTCGCCACTCAGGTGTATCGTGAAATCATCTGTGTACCTTACATGGCCAAATTCGTCATCTTTGCCAAAACACATGACCCTATTGAGGCTCGATTGCGCTGTTTCTGTATGACTGATGATAAAATGGACAAAACTTTGGAGCAGCAAGAGAACTTCACAGAAGTGGCACGTAGCCGAGATGTGGAGGTGAGTCATGGGTATTGCTACACTGGATTCTTTTTAATATACTTCAGTGCAGCCCAGTCAGATATTTTTCAGTATTGTATTGTCTCGGTTACGTATGTTAACCCTCGTTCCCTGAAGGAGGGAACGGAGACGTCACGTCGGATGACCGACGAAATTGGGATCTCGCTTAGAGAGACCAATCTACTTCGAGTGTAAACTAAACGAGCCAATGCACATTGGCATGCGATTATTGCATCCAGCTGCCGCTGATCACAGCGTGAGTATAAGTAGGCAGCAGATGCAGCGCATATTCAGGTTTTCGCTGAGGAGCCGAGCCGGTGACCCGGCCGCTCAGCGGTGGTACAGGAGCTGTGGCGACGGGACGTGACGTCTCCGTTCCCTCCTTCAGGGAACGAGGGTTACCATACGTAACCGAGACGATCTCCTGTAAGATTTGTTTTAAAGGAATTTAAAGGAATAGTTCACCACAACATGAAAATTTGCTAAAAATGTACTCACCCTCAGGCCTGAACAGCGGATAAAAGCATCACAATAATCCAGTTAATCGATTAACACCTTGTGATGTTAAATGATTGACTGATTCAGATGAGATGACTGGAGAATGCAATTTTATGGACAGAGGACTTCTATTTTAGTGTGTTTTTAATGTAAACTTGTGTGTGAATGAGAACTTAGTTTAGTACTTACATGCTGTCTGGTGGCCGCTTTCTGTTCGTTTGCTTCGGATGTGTGTGCTCAGAAAACCGTAAATCAGAAGTTTAAACTAATATGGTTTAAAACGCATGATTTCAGCGCGATAAACATGATAATCAGAACCAAAACAGATGTTTTTTAGCAGGTAGGAGCTGTAATGACGCAGCTCTATTCTGGAAAAGGGGGCGGGGAGCAGCAGCTCATTTGCATTTAAAGAGACAGGCCCGAAAACAGCGTATTTCTGCTTCCACTCAAAATAGGCATTTTCAAAATGATATAATCAATGATCTGTGGTGTATTTTGAGCTGAAACGTCACAGACACATTCTGGGGACATCAGAGGCTTATATTACATATTGTAAAAAGGGGCATAATATGTCTCCTTTAACATAAGAGAAAGACACATTCTTTTCTGCTTGCTGCAATAAATCGCTATTTTTCTGCACTAAACAAGTGAATTTTGCCAATATATTTTCAGAGATGATAGACAAGATGTTATAGAATAATTTATTGAAAACCTAATTTTGACAAAAAATTTACATTCAATTTATTTTTCGAATTTCCTGAAAACGTCCCAGCACGACATCCGACGGGTTTTCCCAGATCGCATCACATATAGTCCAATCAGCATCAAGTCACATTCTATGGAGTACCGCCCCTTTTTGGGCGATTTAACTCTGCCCGAGAATTGCCCAGACTGTTCTCACAGACTTCCATACAATTTTTTTTTTTTTCAAACTGCAGGCAGTGCAATGCAATCTCTATTACCCCTTTTCCACCAGCATGAACTAGAAAAGTACCCAGAGGTACGTATTTTTATGAGACCAGGTTGACTCATACCCCACTCCACCGCCCCCCGCCGACACAGTTTTGCGTAGGGCCCCCAGACGTCTAGGATCGGCACTGTACATGGTTATTCTCATAAACGGTTATACTTTCACGCTGTACTGATCAGAAAAACAAACCTTTTCGAAGCTTTAAATCAATTGAACCATTTGCTTCGCTAAATGATTCACTGTTTCGAATCACTCAAAACGCCACATGCTGGTGATGCCTGCTGGTCATAACGCTGTAAATGCAACAAAAACATGAATAAATAAAGACCCAATGCAAATGTTTAACTGAAAGTATAAAATGCAATTAGCAAATCATCAAATGCTATTAAATATGAAGTGTCTTTATAACCTGTTCTTTTATTAATTTGCAGTGCTTGTTTTGTTTGCTTTTCTCACAGACTTCCATACAATTTTTTTTTTTTTCAAACTGCAGGCAGTGCAATGCAATCTCTATTACCCCTTTTCCACCAGCATGAACTGGGTGCTAGTTCAGAGCCAGTGCTATTGCCGGTTCGGAGTTGGTTCCACTGGCGAGCCTTCTAAGAACCGGTTTGCCTTTCCACGGGCTAGAGAACCACCACAGAGCCAGGTCTTATGTCACTGAATACGTCTCATCTTTCTCAGTAATGCTAGCGTGGCAGCGCCAAACACAACAGGCATGTTCGAGATGTATCGGCACCATGCAGACCGATCGGTGCACGACACCAAAGCACTGCGAAAGCGATCCAAAAGCATAAAGAGAGTTGTCTGCTTTCAAATCACTCGCGCGGCACACCGACCGGTCGGCGCAGCCCGAGCAAGCCTAAACACACAATCAACACTGGTGGACGTTGCATTGCTATTGATGTTCATGGCTTTGTGAATTTACATCGGCATCCAAACACAGCAAATTCAACGTGTTTGTGTTTAGCAGCTATTTCAAAAATGACGGTCAAAAGTTTCTGTTCATCTTGTTGCTCACGGTAACCCCGCTCCCAGCCCCTGACGCAAGC